AGGAATTATGCTCTTGACTTAGTTGCCACAGATCCTGTCTCATTTTATTCAGCATACAAATAACTACTGCTTCACAGCCCCAGAGCATCTGTGTAGACCAAGAAATGGTGCTTCACTCTTACTGAAAGTGCCCTGCAGTTCAAGTAGTTCCTACCTCAAAAGTGAAAGGGTAAGCATTCTCGCCCAACTTCTTCATCAGCTTTTCCTGCAATGGAGTGAGGGTTGCTGGTGCCTGTTTTGGCACAGAAGGATAAATCTGAGTGGCCATGGCACAGATATCCTTCCTGAAGCTCAAACCAATAACATCCAGATCATCTCGGCCATAGCGGAATGCACATGTCAGGGTCACGAAAACTGGAGCCAGTGCAGGAGAGATGGAAATTAAAAGAGGAAAGGGTTAGGGAAAACAAAAGAGCGAAGCAAAAAGAAGGAATGGAGATAACAAAAGGGCAGGTGGAGTACATGGGCTGAGGAGACAGAAGAGACCATATTTAACGACTCTTCAGACTTAAAAACAAAGTCATACGAGCAGAAATCTGACCCAATCTGATTCAATTCACACAAGCAGAAACTTGACCCAGTTTTCTAGGGCTAAGTTTCTAAAGCTCAGTCTAGAGATAGGAAGATCCATTAAATTGTTTCTTCTAGGCTCTTATACCTTCAGAATCAGTTCCTCAGATAGAAGAAGGGAGGAGTAGAGAGTAGAAAACAAGAGAGAGGGGGCTTCTTTTCATTAGCAGCTTTGAGCTAGGAGACTCACTGGACTGCCAGCAGGCATTTGACAATCACATGTGCTAAAAAATAACCCATTGCATCACTTTTGAGATCTTCTCATTACAGCCTCAATGCCTGTGTCTTGTTAGTACAGAAATGTACCTTTTCTATCCTTCAGATATTCAGGATCAATCAAGATGACACCATCTGCAAGGAAGCACACAAAGCACAGGCGAGGTCAGCTTTTTCAGCCGGAGGGAACTTGCCAGGGAGGTTGCAAGGGCTGGGAGCAACCTTCTAAAAATACAATTTACCCATAAAATTTAGTCACCAAAATGATCTCCTTTCTCCAGCTCTAAAAACAAAAGCTCTGTCACATTGGAACTGCATGTTAAATAGCTCATGACACTTCCTAAAATACTCTCAAAAATATAGTGACATGTTTGCTCTGGGAGTCTAGATTTTTCTGCCTCTGGGGCTTTTGCCTTTTATTACAGACATTTGCAGGAAGTGGAGATGATTGCCTCTCACAGGTTTAACTTCTTCCTGTTGCTTATTCTGATAGGAATAAACTACACGCTGTGGATCTGGCCCCTCAAAACTGTCTGTGGTTGAACAGCCAGCTACACAGCAATGAGATGCAATGGCATACGTAAAGGATTCTGGCTTACAAGGCAAAGATAAAGTTACTCACCTACGGGTTCTACATAATCAACATGATCCACAAAATCTCTCTTCCCCAGGTAGATGGAGAGCTGGAAGCAGTGTGAAGTGGAAGAACAGATGCAAGGACAGAAAATAAACAGGTTATTGTTTTCTAGTCAGTCCCTGGCAGTTCTCAAGCATGTAGCCTTGGCTGGGATTATTGATTGGAGCTCTCATAATCTCTAATTATCCAGTTTAGCAGAAAAGCTTTCATCATTTAAGGGGGTCTCACTATAGCTGAAGAAAAGTTCTTTCCTGGAAAGAGAAGCACTGCAGTAACATGGTGGCAGGGGCATTAGAAGGAGAATGAGAGGGAGTTCAAAGGGAGAGAAAATCTCAGTGCACTCGGTATGGGTGCATGACAATGGCTTGAAAATTATATTTAGAGGTTTGATTTTGGGAATTGGTTTGTAGGTAAAGTAGATATGCATTAGAGCAATGATCCAGGGGAATGGCAAGAGTTAATTGGTTTCTAAAAGTCTGTTTGTGACAAAGTTTCTTTCAAAGCCCACCATGCCTGAAGCCAACAGACACACAGGCTGAGAAATTGAAGACATGTACCACACTGTTTCATAACATGAATAGTATACCCAAACAGAGATATGGGACTCTGCAGCATTGGTGCCATGTCACAGTGCCCAACTGCAGAGCCCTGTGGGATTACTGGTTTTGGTGAACAGACCAAATTAGGATGCCTGGCAAATAACCAAATTAAGACGCGTGCATGTGGTGGATTTGTCGGAAACAAAGGAATATGCTGACAGGACAGAATGTGGACAGTATGACCACAGGGAGACTAATCAACAATGCCCAGAGATGAAGAGTAATGAGAGGAGAGAAAGAATACAAAAGGAGTGATTTCAGAGCATCAAAGGGTCCCCGAGAGGGGAACCCAAGGCTGCCATGGACAGATGGCACACCACCAGCCCGTCTCACCCATTCCACTGAGTGGGTGGACCTCAGCATTCAACCTCCAGGCTGCTGACATCTGACATTCAAGAGAGAACCTCAGGGTGAAACTTGCATACTGGCCAGACACCTTCTCTCTGTAATAGCTCTAGGACTGGTAGATATAGAATCAGGGAACAGGGGGTTATTCTGTTTGCCTTGCCTGCATTATTGTTATTTGCTATCACTGTGTATCAATAAAATTTGCCTGTTATCAAATGGAGAAATCATGGTCAGTCTGAGGATTTGGATCCTCCCAGAACAAGGTATCTGATGCCAACACAGGATGCCAAATCCCATGCTAACACATGGGGTGCAATATGAGTACATTCACCCACATGAAGCCTTTGACATGCATGTGCCTTTCAATCTTTTTTAGCAGCACCCAAATAAATTAGATACCATTTGGCCCAACACATGAAGTATCTTGGGATATAGACTTCCACAGCCCACCAGGAGTCCCTACACCCAGCCTGGACTTACCTTTGCATTGGGGCTGGTTTTCTTAAAGACTCTGAGAAGGAAACAAACACACAGACATGAGAAAAGTGTGTGACAAATTTGAGTATTCTTGCAGCCTGGTTCCTTCCAAAGTGTGGACTTCAGAGAAAGGAATCAGGGGGGAAGTCTGTTCACTCAGGAGGAAGGAGGGAGTTGGGGACTGAGGCTGGGTTTGGAGGCTGCATAACATCAACCTGAGGTGGGGTAAGCAGGTACTTTCACAATCTCTAGGGGGACAGTCCCTAGCATGGTCAGGCCCCAAACCTGCATGCTCAGACCTCCCTGGTCTGTTCCTGCCTGGTGCAAATTCAAGGGCTGTGGGAAGGGAATATGATGTTCCCTGAGCTCTCAGTGTCATGAGTTTCTCTGCCTACCACCTGAGCAGAATATTCCTGGTGTTGAGTAGTGGTAGGTGTGCTGTTGTCACAGGTCATATTTTAAGGGCGGGTGAGAAAAGCACTGAAGTGCCAGGTGAGATGTTAGTTAGAGAGCAGCTCCCTGGAGGCAGGCAGGCCAGCATGTGTATTTCCTTTCCCCAGAAAGCATGAACCACACAGCACTGCTCTGATCCCTCAGGTCAAGCTGCTGCACTTCCTCATTTCTGCCTACGTGTTGGCACTAGGAGCACAAAGTAAGCCCCCTGCACGATGGGGAGCTGCTACCACTGGTCAGGTTTGGGCAGGAGCCGGGATGTTTGAGTAGGGAAGCCAGCAGCTTGTGTTGGGCTGGCAGTTCCTTTGATTCTATCTTATTGGCTTCTGGCCCAGATACAGAAGGGTTAAAGCTACCATGACATCTTCACCAGCAAAGGCTGATGCTAGGATGATGAAGTGGCTTTCAGTGTCAATCCCATTACTGTAATCCCACCTTCTGGTGCTGTTCAGTGCAAACATTAGGTAATGCCTTCCCACAGATGCAGGCTGAGCTCTGGGCTGGAGCATGGGAGCACTTGTGTAATACTGGTAGCTGGCATTACATGAACCTGACAGAAACATGGTTAGGCCAAATGTGGTCAATGTCCCTGTCACTCACAGCTAAAATCACACATGCATGAAGTTCCTGCCTATCCCTGACAGAAACACAGAAAGACATGTTCCAGTCCCATGTGGAGACAGAGCCAAAGGCAGCCCGGAGGTGTTGCAGCAGGACTGTCCCAGGAGGGAGCTGGGAACATGCCGTGGCAGGCATGCACACACCAGTTACCACTTGGCTGGATGGGATGATGGCATTTGGCCTTGACTTCTGACAATCATCTTTCAATCACTTGAAGTGGCAGCTGTTCACGCAGGCCTCTCTCACTCTGGATCACAGCAGTTCAAGATCTTAATTTATCCTTTCTAAATTAACAGCAGATGATTTCATTTCTCCACTTGCACAACAAAATCCAAGATCCTCTAAGATCTACTGGGGCACTGAGACTAGAAAGCTTGATAGCAAACATGTCTGTATGTGCTTGCTTATGTTCAGCTGAATGCAGACCCAAAAAGGAAAAGATAGGAATATGTATGCTGACATATGTGCATGCACTTGGGAAGGAAGACTGTGAGTGGATGTCTGCAGAACACAGTGATCAGCAGGCCAGGGCTTTACACACCTAACTATTGACTTCTGAGCATGGGCAGAAGCCTCCCAGTCTAAGCAGCTGAGTGCCTCACTGTTGCCTGACTTCTGTGGTGGTCCAGACAGAAGAAGCAGTAGCCCCTGAACTTTTCCTAAATCCCCAGAGGGAACCAATCCCTGCTTCCCTCAGCTATTTATTGATGTACATTAACAAGTCATTGGAAAGAACCAGAAATAGTCCTGAAAGTGTGACTGGATCTCAGGGCTGCCCTCTCCCAGCTGAGTGCCCTACCCACCAGAATTCAGAGCCAGACTCCCTCTTGCTTGCTCTCCTGGTCTGAAGACCATTGCCTTCTTGGATGCAGAGTGGCACAGCTTCAACAGGAAGGTAGAGGGTGCTTTCCTGGGAAGTGGGAGACATGGGTTTGAATCCCTTCAGGCTGAGGAGGACTCAAAGTTTAAAGCCCAGGTGTCACAGGTACTGGCAAGTGTCCTGACCACTAGCCTATTGTGTCAAAAGTAGACAGTGGAACCACAGCTGCATTCATTTAAGTACCTGCGTCACAAGAGGACTCTGGAACTTGTGGTGAAGGAATTGTTTAATGTGTGTAGCCCTGGGTCAGGTGCCTCAGCTCCTGGAGGCTCTGGAGAGGCTGAGAGTTCAAATGCAACCCTGTGCTTTGTGTTTCCTATTGGCAAGTTCTCAACGGCTCCCTGATAATGGTCCTTCAAAGGCACAGGGAGCCAGGGTACCTTATCTTTTTCACTGAATCAACCTTTTGGGGCTAGGCAGATGACTTTTAGGCCTGCTGAAGCCTAAACTAAAAGTACCTAAGAAGCCAATCTGGATTTGCCAAAATGCTGCAGACTAAGTCCAAGGTGGTAAGATTTCATACCAAATGTTTTGGGCAAAATGGAGATTGCACCAAGCTGGAGTGTGAAAAAGCAGCAATAATCTGGTGCTATATACACTCCATCCCATCCACTCGCTACAGGACCCAGGCTGTCTTCCTGTGTCACAGGAGAAGAAAAAAAATGCTCTTACTTGGATCTGTCTGCCATTTCAGATCAGTTGTCACACTGCAGGGATTCTGTAGAAGAAAACAGTAGGGTTAGAAACCTAGAGACTCCCAGTCATCAGAGTGAGGTCCAGTATTTGATCAAGATGTGATGATTAATCACAGTTTCACCACAGAGAATCTCAGGCTATCCCTGCATTGAGCCTCTTCTGTTTCTCAGAGCAGAGGATCAGGCTATGAGTGGGGTTTCTAGCTCAGGTTTGGTCTCAGTTCCCTTAGATCTGGAGAGGTTCAGACCTGGAGAGGTTCACGCATCACTGATGTGAGACTGTGATTCTAGAACATATACATAACCCAAGATGGAAACTGACCAACCCCCAAACTCCTTTTCACTGTGTTGGAAGGTAGAAAGTAAAATACAGAGGAAAAGTGAAAGTGACACAAGAAGCAGAGAAAATGTTACAAGAGAAAAAGGAGAACTGCCTACAACCTCCTGGTGACCACAGGGCTGGGAAAGCATGACAAAGAATTAAACTGTTTGAGGAGCTACAGTTGTACGCATGTTCTCATTTGCAAGCAATCTGCTGTCAAGAGAAGGTTTTAGGATGAAACTGCTGGTTCTGTATTGTCACCAGCCTTTGAAGGGGAGCTGGAAGCAAAAGTTGAAAGAGGGCAAGGCCAATGTGTATTGAAGTTAGTAATTCCAAATGACCTTAGAAGTAGGAGTCTTTAAGCAAAAATCAAAAATGGGCTTCAACAGATAGCCCCTTCCAGAAGTCCTGTTCCTTTCTGACAGGATACTAGTAACTCTCATCGGAGTCAACGGAAGGTACAGATGGTCTGCACCAGTAGAAAGCAAACCCTGGCTTATTTCAGTCTGAAAAACCAAGAAATAAAGAATCCAGAATTAGGCCACTTCTGCAATTGTTCTCCTTAACCTCTCTGCAGCTGGTTTCCCAGGGGAATAATAAACTTGTGCCTCTTTGTAAAGTACTGTGAAATTTATGAAAGAAAGGTGCTATTTAAGGCCTAAGTCACATTCATTGTTTTCTCTAACAGCACAGAAATAGAGCAGGTGAGATGCACTTTATCCTGGTGTTTATGGGAAATAATTTCTCCTAGACTTTGCTTTGAACTCCTTCATAATTAATCCCTTATCCTTCCACCACTCTCTCGCCATCCATCCATCCATCCCCACAGCTTAATTCCAGGGGCTATGGGAACCCAGTTCTGGCTCCTCCATCTTTACCAAGGAACAGTGTGATGGCAGATAAGCTCTCAGCATATACATCCTAAGTGATTATTAATTATGAGAGACAACTTCAGAAAAAAAAGTACTGCAATTTTAGTGTCCACAAGGAACACGTTCTGGCTTTGCCTAGATCAGCCAAAAACCTCCTGCTTGGGGCTGGTACATTCCATGGTGATCTCCCAAGTACCTGCATGAGTTTTATCTGTTTACACTCACCATGGAGAATTAAACTGCAAAGACCTCACTTGTAATCGGCTGATTTGCAGGGAGCTTAGACAGGAGGAGCTCAGCTTCTTAAACTTACATAGCCCTGGTACTATGACTTTAGTGGGGCTTACACTAGTGAGATACCAGTCCAGGCAGAGTGGCTAAGCTGGGTGCATGTAGACAGAGAGTCCTTTTATGCAACCATACTGAAATCAAGACAAACTAAACCAACACTGAAGGGGAGGGAAACCGCTTACCCCCTAGGGAGGCAGGTGCTTAATCTCAGCAACAGGCTGCGCCTTGAAGGCCCTATGGAATAGCTCCTTGGTTTTGAAACACAGGCATCTGGGAAAAGAGGGCAGGTTTCTTGGACTACAAGGATGGTGGCAGGCATTAGGGCTGTGCGAAGCTTTGCCAGCTGTTTTGTTTCAATGCTGTTTTGACTTGTTTTGAGCTTGAAACAGCAAAATTGAAACAAAACGAAGGGCTTTGATACAGCCTTAAAACAAAATGAGGACAGTCGAAACGTTTTGAAACGTTTTGAATTTTGAAGTAGCCCGGTGGTGGGAGGCAGGGAAGAGCCAGGGCTGCTCTGAGTGGCTCCACAGCCCCATGTGGCTCAGCCCGGCAGGGAGCACAGCCCTGGCTCTCCCCACCTCCCACTGCCGGGCTGCGCTCCATGAGGCTGGCAGAGCCGATTGGAGTAAAGCACCAGTTCTGCCCACCGCCTGCTCCCGGGCTGTGCTCCGATCAGCTCTGCCAGCCCCATGGAGCCCAGCCCAGTGGCGGGGGGCAGGCAGAGCCAGGGCTGGTTCCACCTCCCGCCATCGAGCTGAGTTCCACGGGGCTGGGAGCTGCTGGGAGCTGAGCCTGGTGGGGGGGAGGCAAAGCGGAGCCACGGCGCTGCTCTCCAATTCTCTTCACTGGGCTCAGTTCCATAGGGCTGTGAGCCACTGGGAGCGATTTACTCTGGGCTTCGCACCAGAGCCGACCCGAGGACGGTGCCAGACCCAGGGCAAATCAGCTTATGTGGGGACCCACCCCCCCGATCCTGGGGCAGGTCCCCACACAAACTGATTTGCTCTAGGCCTGCCTGCCGCTGGCCCCAGGTGGTAGCACGAGCCTCCTGTGATCTGGGAGGCAGATCGGGGCCCACACCCCTCAGGAACAGTCCGGCACAGCCCCCACAGCCCTCCCGGGGGTGCGGGACGAGCCCTTGATCTGCCTGCCGGATGACAGGAAGCTGGTGCTGCCGGCGGGGGCCAGCAGCAGCACCGATCTTCCTGGCACTGGCTGCAAAATAGCCTATAGGCGAAATGTCAAAAACGGCATCAAAACAGCAAAAGAGTTTTGACGAAATGAAACAGAACAGTGCTTTCGAAACAAAATGAAACTCAAAACAAAACACTGTCCCGGTGAAACGTCAAAACGGAAGTCGAAGTGGAACGATGCCGTTTCGCACAGCCCTAGCAGGCTTGTCATCCTTGGGGCAGAGGGACAGGAAGAAGAGAAGGGTATCTTGTCCATTCCCCAGATGAAGATGAGGCACAACTCTGACAGCCTGTTGGCTGAGCGTGTAGTGAGAGTTAGAGAAAAGAATGAAGAAAGAAGCTTAGAGATGAAACGAGTGAAGTCTCTCCATTATTTCTCCCAACTCTGAGAGGAGGACAGGTTCCCCCCAGAGTCTGAAAATACCTCATGGCTTGTTTAGGTTGGGGGTGTCCCCTACTCTAGCATATTGGCACTTGTGTCTCTCTAGTTTCCAGCTCAGCCACAGGTGCAGGCAGGCTCCTGGGTGCCATCCAGCAGCCACAGTGTCTGTGAAGGACTTCAGAGGTTCAGGCAGGCAACTCCTCCTTTGCTCTCTGTGGGTATAACAGTGCTGCCCACCCACCTGGCAGCTACTCATTATTAATATTACTCTGTCTCAGTGCTTTATAAGACCCAAAAGATCACGCCATCCTGGTCCAGAGAGCTCAGAAGCCAACCATTCAGTGCAAATGGCTTTCTCCCAGATGGGACAGAACTGCCCCCTCCATCTCCCAGTTTTTTTCAAAGAAAATGGTCTTCCAGCAGAGAGAGGTCTTACCTGTGAGGGGAGTGTTCAGATCTCACCTCTTCTGCTGGCCCTTCTCTTGTCAGGTTATTCTGAGGCTTCCTCTCTGTTCCGAGGCTTCTTATGCTTCCCTGCTAGTCCCTCCCCTAGTGTCTTGCCAATAGTGCTTCGCTGGGGATGTGAGGTGTGTGTGTTCCCTGGGAAGTATTTTGAGACTAGAATCCTATTAGTTTATTACCTGGAGGACTCGGTAAATAAGAGTGGACTATAAATAATGTGGGCCGAAGCCCTGAGAAAGCAGATTAAAGAGATTGGAAGAGTAGGTTTAAGGCCAGAGGTGATGGTAATTGGGATGGATGCTTTGGTTTTGGACAGCTGAAGTTACAGCTGAAGCTGGCACAGGACTGGGAGGCTGTTTCCACAATTTTTCAAAAATCATACTGTCATTAGGAAACTGTTTCCACAGCTAACACAATGAGGAGGACCGAGGAGCAATCTGAGGACAGGAGAAGTTGTCAGAGCAAAACAGACATAACTTGATGACCCTTGTTTTTTCCTTACACCCTTCCTGTTCCTAAAGGTGACGCTAGTCTGAGGTGAGGTAGAGGCCTTCTGCTTCATTTCAGACACAGGAGCCCTGTGCAGGTGAAGAGGGGTCTAGTATAGACTTTTTTCAGGGGCAGGCCCTCTGAGGAGGACAGTGGGTAGGAGTATGGATGGGAGATCAGTGCACAGGCATGAGGATATGCAGTACAAACTGCGTAATGGGTTTTTAGTGTGCTTTGATCTGCCAAGTGAACCACAGGGCCCACTTGGCAGAGCATTGGAGATGGAATTATATATATATGTGTGTATGTGTGTGCACACATACACACATATATTTTGCAAAAAAAAACAGAGAGAGAGAGAGGAACAACAAAAGCCTTTGGCCCAGGAACTGGGATGACACAATTCCCTGAAATTCTCCATAAAGGTTCACAGTTGGTCAGAAGCCGAGTCTCTACCTGGGGACATTGCCGTGGCAGGAGGAATCAGTGCTGCTGGCCTTCCAGTGACCTTTGGAGAAGCCACACAGGGCTCTGGGCCAGAGGGGATGCTGTAATACGGGTAATTACATTCCCTTGCACAAAGCCAAGAATCTTCAGCACACAAGAGGCAGTGGGGGAGGACTGGGGGGGTGCTAGTAAGGGAAGGATGTCAGAACAAATGGGCCTCAACACAAACTAGCCTGATTTGTCCAACTCACTACACAATAGCAGCTGCTGAACCATTTGTGATCTAATTCTGACCCTTGCTGCAGCTCTTACACACCACTTCTGCAGTGTAAAGGGGTCAGAAGGGGCCCCTGACAAAATAATGCAACAGTATGTAGAATTTTCCTGCCAGCATTAGGCTGCTGAAACAGCCCTGTCCCACTTTCCTATATTGCTACCAATCTACAGTCATTCTGACGTTAGAAAGAGATTGTGCTGGATCACATTGAACTTTGGCTAATATGGGCCACAGAGCAGACCATAAGCAACAGAGAAAGGCTGCTTTAACTCAGAGCAGCCTCAG